GTTGCTTTTACAACATCCTTAGCAGAGAAGGTAGGACCTACCCTTTTCACAGATTATATAGCACAGGGCACCACTCGGCCCTACTAACCAAAGCACAAATCTAGAATTGCACTTCAGGTAATTAACCAGAGGCTCATTTAGACATCACTACATAAACATTCGTTCCATGCTTACTTTCTCATGAAAAATGTGAAAAACGTTGAAATAATTTCTCTCAATAGGAAAATATAATGTATCATGTCAAAGTCTCATCTAATGTGGTTCTGCATATCTAAAATGTCCTAAGGTGACTCTCCAATACAGGGTGGAGGGCAACGCTACAAAAGTCATATACAGAAGGCTACCCTGATCCACAACTTCACCTGACTCTGAAATAAAAAGAACAAGAACACTGTACTATGTAGACTATAAGTAGAAAGTGGTCTAGATGTATTGAGTACTTTCTACTAATTCTAATAGAATTAAAGAAAACCAGAAAGAGAAGACTTTTCACCTGTACTTAGATGAGGTTTCGCCATGTAGGCCAGGCTGGTCTTGAACTCCTGACCTCAAGTGATCCACCTGCCTTATCCTCCCAAAATGCAGTGATTACACGAGTGAGCCACCGAGCCCTGCCGGGAAACTAAGTTTATATACCAGAACCAACTGCACAATGGAAGCATTCAAAAATATGTGTCAGAGATATCAGAGTATTTTATTCAAAGTCTGAGTTTTTCTTTAAAAACAAAAACAAAACAAAACACAAAACACCTACTTTATAAATAGACCAGTTTTGAGATTAAAATGTAAATCCAAACTTAACTGTTATAAATCTCAGCCTTGTAAAGAGGAGCTTCCACTGCCTTTTCAAGGCTAACTGGGTTTAAAGTCCTAACGCACCGAAACAGACGCCAAGTCTACTACCCACCACCCATTGGCTCAAAGGAAGCCCCGCCCCGCACAGCCACCGTAACTGAACATCAAGGGAACCCCAGGGAAGATTTTCCCTCTGCCACATTTCTGGTCTCCAACGACTCCCCTTCCCTCCCCTCCCCCACCATCACCACCACAGAACTAGCGTCCCAGCATCAGCCACGCACGCTCCTACGGGAGGACCTAAAGCACTTCGCCCCAGTAGTTACAACCAAGAGGGGAGTGGAAGTGACCATGCTCCCACTCTCCAGCCTGCACAGTGCCAGACACGCTGCAAGGAGCAAAGCGGAGAAAACAGCTCCGGAACAGGGATGGCATGACCGAGCCGCTGGAGTAAGTCCTGACACCTCTGCAGCTCCCAGTGGGCGGGGGCTCCTCCCACACCACGGAGACATAGGGCGGGGCAGATCTAGACGCCGAGACTCCCAGCCAGACCCGACAGCGGGCTTTCCCTAGCACCGCCTCACTGCCAAGGAGGCGGAAACCCCGGGCCGGGGCGGGGGGGGGGACGACCAAGGGGAGTGGCACCGCGGATCAGTACGGCCCCTCCGGCCAACCGGATCCCGAGAAGGCGGAGGAATTCGACTTCACGCCCCCTCTCTGCCGCGCCCAGAGTCTACACGCGGGAGACCCCCCTACCCGTCCCGGACCCGAGCAGGCCGGAGCGCGCCGCCACCCCGAGGCCCCGCCCACCCCCGGAGCAGAGGAGTGGGTAGTCGGCCGCAAACCACACTCAGCCCGAGGCCGGCCCCGCCCCTTTCTCCACAATTGCACGCGCGCGCCGACCCCGCCTCTGAGCGGCGGCGCGAGAGCCCGCCCCCCTCCGCGCGCACCGGGACTACGCTCTCCTCCCCCTCCCGCGCGGAGAGCTACCCCGCTCCGCCCCCCACCCCCCTCACACAGCCACACACCTCCCGCCCGTCTGCTCTACGGGAAGCCGAGGAGGTCAGCCCCCCCTAAAAATACACACCCTCGAGTCCAGCGTTACCCGCCACCAGGCTCCCGCCCGACCCCCGGCCCTGCGTGCTCTCACCGCAAAGCTGCTTCGGCCGCTCGTCACTGCGTGTCCCTCTCGGCGTGAGCCGCGAGCTCAGTAGGGAGGCCCGCAGAACAGCGCGGGGCACAGGCCCGCCGAAGCGGACTGGCAGCTACCTCTCCGCTAACGAAGCGGTCACAGGCTCCGGTGCCCAGACTGGGAAGGAGGGAGGGAGGGAGGGAGGGAAACTCCGAGGGGGGAAGGGGAGGGGGGAAGATGGAGAAACCGTCTCCGCCGCCTCTACCGCCGCGGCCGCTTCTCTGTTACCCGGGAAATCCCGCCCACTCCCCCGGCCCGCCCCGCAGAGGGAAGACTCAGCTTCGTTCCAGCACAGGACGCAATACCCGCCCATCAAAGACTCAGCCAGTTACAGAGGCCTGCCTGCTGACTTCCCGCCCCTTCCCCCCTCGACTGGGAGGGGAGGGGGAGCCGCTCACCTTCTCCACGCCCCTATTGGCGGGGAGCTTCCTTAACTCAACCCCGCCTATTGGAGACGGACTGCTGAAGCCCACCCCCGAGCCCCAACACTATTGGAGGAAGCCGGGAAGCTCTTCCCGTCTTATTGGAGGACACCACATATCCCACCTCACAGCGTCTCAGCCACAGGCCTAATAAGTTGGCTCCCGCCTCCGCCGGTCATCGCATTGGAAGGCTACCCCTGGCTCTCCCACCGCCCCAGGAAGGTAAGTAACCGATGTGGGGTAAAATGTCTGTAAGTGAAACAGGCTCCGCCTACCGCACTGCCGGGCCAGGCCCCGCCCCAAGAATAGGATTGGTTATCTTGGCGCTGGTAGGACCCTCCATTGGCCAGGGCGCCCGTCTAGGAAGGACCTAATTCCGCCCTGCGCGGGGAGGCTGAACCTTAGCAGTCCTTTTGTGGAATGTTTACACTAGAGACTGAAGCTCGGAGTTCCAGGGCCTGAGACAGGACGCAGCGCGGAGATCATCAGCAGAGACCCCACATCCTAGGATTTGAAGAGGAAAGGCAGCCCGCCCTGGAGGACTCCCTTACAAAAAAATGAGAGAGTGAGAACTCATAGTCCCCATCTAGTTACAGTTTACATGCTACATACTGTGTCCTCGTAAACACAAATACCCGGAGCAGCTGGCAACTCTTTTCAGCCAAGTAGAGTACAGAACTAAGGTCTGGAGACCTAAGCAGAGAAATAACCCCACGGGTGTCCAGCCCACTCGCTAGAGCTGAATATGCAGTCCTAGGAGGGCGGAGATAACCCAAAGAGAGGCGGGCCCTAACAGCCACCGCCCTGGCAAGCCTCCGGAGGGCGGGGCGTGAGGCACAAGTACTCACGATCTCCCCGGTGGATCTGGAAGCATCCTCAGAACTGAGAAAGGAGAGGAAAAGACTGAAACAGGCCACGGCATAAATTAACTTTGGGGTCATGTCACACTCAGAGAAAGGATAAAACTTCCGTAGTTGGGGACATAAAACGGCTGTTCACCTTCTCCTGGCCAGGAGTGTTAAGGGCAGTCCCTGTGCCCTCTCTGTGTAAGTAACAGTGCCTCGAACACACAGTGAAACAAAGTGCTTTCAACTCCTAGTCTGTTTTTATTTATTCACCCAATAGGGCGTGGGCATGAGCTGACCTTACTTTGGGGGGATACTCTGCCAGCGCCAGGAGAGGGGGCGGGATTAGGTTTTTACCGCACTCCAGAGGAAGTCGAATCCTCCTCCCAGAGAGCTGAGACCCTAAGGGACAGGCCCAGTGAACCCACTCCTAGGTCCAACTCTGTCCTCCCTCTGCAATCCAGCGGAAATGGTCAGGAACGACCTCTGGCAGCAGGTGGGCCTGACGCCAATGATGGCTTCGAGCCACGAAACCACAGCAGAGAATTGTGAAGTTCATGGGGAGTCGACAGGTGGGAGCAGCCTCGCCAGTAGCCAAGCCCTGCCCCAGAACAGAGCTCTAAAAATAAGACCAACGAAGCGACCCCCGGGCCAAACTGCTGGGAAGTTAGGAGGAAGTGGTACTCCAGCAGAACCGACCCAAGGCTACTTCTAACTTTGCGCCCCCTTCCACCACTAGACTGAGTATCACGGGGCAGGCTCACCATGGTATCAAAAACTACTCAGAACCCAAGCCAGCATTAGGCCGCTCACGACGTCCCGAGATCACAGGGTACCACCTGCGCTGGATCTCGCCAAAGGGTCCCAGGCCAGCGCTCTAGGTTGTCAAGTCTCAGACACAGCCAACTAAGGACGGCAGCTACCATGCCTAGGGAAGAACAAACACTTGCAGCGTCTACAGAGTTCTCAGTTTAAGCTCAGAGAAGTCAAGGGGCGCGGAAATAGCCAAGCCACAGGGTTAGAACTTTAGTACTTGACCCTGGCCACGAAGGGCAGATCTCAACCTATGCAGAACCTCCGGAGCTTCGCTACCGAAATCCACTTCTCACTGTAATCCCCTGGCTTCACCCCGAAGGCTACCGGGTCTCGAGCCTCGGTGGAACCTTTGTGTGGCTTCTCGGCTATCCCCGCCCCCCTCGCCAAGGGCGCCGAGCCTAGGACTTCCGGGCGGGAGGGCAGTTCGAAGGAGCTAGGCGGGCCTCACACATGTGCCGAGCGCGCTCAGGAGCGAAGGGAGGAGGCGGGCAGCAAGGGTGGACTTCCCACTCCAAGCTCGCAAAGCCGGAGGAGGCCCGGCTACCCGTCTCACCAATCAGAGGCGGGGGCGGGACCCTACGCCTCTCATCAGCGGCAGGAACCCTCCCTCCTCCCTCCGCGGAAAAAAAAAATCCTAGCAACTTAAACTCCAGCTCGGCCTCCCGATAGGCGGAGCTCGGGAGAATGTCATCCAATCCACATCCGAGAAGGAGGAAAAAGGGGGTCGCGCCCAGCCAGTGGAAGACAAGAGAAGGCGGGGCCTCCGGGCGAGCCCGAGGTAGGTGGGAGAGAGGAAACGGGCCCGCCCCTCCGCTCCCCTCCAGGAGGGTTGCACAAGCCGCCGGCGGAGTAGATAGTAAACAGTCTGGGTCGAGGAGTGTTGGCAGGGGCTGCGTGGCGCTCGGTGGACGGGAGCCCCTGCGCCGCCTCTCCCGGTGTTGCCCCGCCCGGCCGGGACGGTTCGCGCCGGCGCCCCGCCTACCCGCTCGCGGCCGCCATCCCGGCTGACAGGCGCGCCCCCCGCGCCCCTCCCGCCCGCTGATGCATTTCCTTTTCCCGATTCCGAGCGTGGAGACTGTTTTCCCAGTTTCCGACCTTCACTGCCCCTTTCAGGCCACCCCCTCGTGGGCGCGCCCCCGCCCGCGCCCCCGCCCCATCCGCGTGGAGCAGCCAGCAGTGGCACCTCGCGGGAAGGGGGGTGGCCCGGCGGCGGCACGGCCGGGGGAGGGGAAAAGAGCAGCAGTCGCCGCCGCCGCCGCCTTGGGGTGGGCGGGGAAGCAGGCAGCTCCATGTTTGCAAGGGGATCAGCCGGGGCCGCGGGGCGAAGCCGCCGAGTTCCTGGGGGTTTTCCCCACCAGCGGTGCGAGCTCCTCGCCGGCTCGCGGCCTGCCGGGTTCTGGCACCGAATACTGACGACCGCCACGGTCGGGGAGTTCAGAGCCCCGGCAGCTCGCGGGGTTAGCGGCGAGGCGCAGGGACTCTTTCCGGTGGCCTCTCCCGCCCCCGGCCGCCCCTCCCGCAAGTCCGGTGTTGCCCCCGCCCCCAGAGTCCATAACAACCGCGGGCCTGCTGTGCCCGCGCCTCTCCTGAGCGCGCCCACCGCCCCCTCCGACAAGTTTGCGGGCAGAAACAAAACCCTCGGGGCGGCTGCCGCCCTTGCTCAGCGTGGGTAGCCGGGAAAGCCGCGGGCCCCGGCTCGCTCGCTAACTCCAGCTCTCAAGCAACTCCGGGCGCCGCAAGCTCAATGGGCCCTGCCGACCATGCTCGAGACGCCGCCCCCTGCCGAGCCTGCAAGCCGCGGCCCGGGCCCGGTTCTAGTCGGCGTGCGGAATCCCCCTTTTCCTTCCTAATGTTTTTCTTTTTTTGAAAAAGGCACAACAGGAGCGGGGGTCTCCTGCCCGCTTCTTCTCCAGTACGCCGCCAAAAGCTACCGAAACCGACTGCTCGGTGAGATAAACTAGGCGGCACTGCCGGCGCAGAGACGACCCCAGGCCGGACCGACCCCCTCCCCGCGGCTCCCGCCCGGCTGGAAACACACACACAAGCGAGCGGGCGGCGCCAAGAGCTCTCCTTCCTGGCCTGTCCCTCGCCTACCTCGGCCGCGGGACTCCAAGCCTCCCCTCAGCTCGGTCCCAGGGCCCGCGGGGCCCACACCACGTCGGGCGGGCCAGACCGAGCGGCCGGCGGATTAGCCCCCCAAACGACTGAGATTGGGGGGACCAAATTAAAAGCAGCTGTTTAACATACCTTCCGAGCCAGGCGAGGAGTCCTGAATGGGGGGGAACGCCCCCCACGGGCCATTGGCTCCCCGGAGCTCACGTCAGTCACCCTGGGCCCGCCTCCGCCCTTCGCCCCGCCTCTTCCCCTTCATTGAATGCTCCCTCCTTCCGAAAAATATAAATAAATTTATTAAACTAAAGGCTAGTGAGAGACGCATCCGTGGTCGAGGCCCTTATAGCTTCCGCACGCCGACTGCAGTTTCTTGAGGTCCTCGGACTGGAAGGAGGCCTTCTGGGGCTCGGAGATCCTCAGAGTGGACGCGGTTGATGAGCCAGCGGGGCTACCGGGCCCCAACTCCCTTCACACACACAACCCATTTGGAGCTAGACAGTAGAGAAGGTAGGTGCACCCTAGCCGCTGGCTGAAGTGGGCAGACTCCTTTGGCTGTGTGACCTAACCGTGTCCGGTCCACTCTGTTAGGTGGACCTAAAAGTGAGTGACGCAAACGGGAAGCCCTGCGTCCGCGGGCAGCAGGCACTTGTCCCTACTTGTGGGTGAGGCAGACATTCATACCGCACCTGCTGCTAGGTGCAGTTACAGACTGGGTGACGTGCTTACTCTACCCCTCCAAGGGCTCCAGACTCAGCCGAGGAGAGTCTACGTAAGGCACCTAAGGCAAGGCAGGAATGTGTATGTAAATAGACATCCATAGGAGCTCAGAGAAGAGAGATTCCTTCTGCTGAAGGAAAATTGGTTTCATGGAAGAGGTGGCGTTCAAGTTGGGTCTTAAAGATTTCATCATGCAGAATTGGAGGGGCAGGTCATTGTCAG